AGATGATACCACCAAGGTGTAAACTAACTAATTGCCATCTCCTAATTACAGTCTGCTAGTATGACCATCATTGGTGGTATGCTCTATGAGAGTAAATGAACAGCTGAAGTTGTTACTGATGAGGGGGGGGGGGGGGTTGTTGCTAATTGAAACCAGAGCTTTAATCTGTTTAATATCAAGCCTTGGATATCTTGGGTAAAAGTCTATGGTAAATATGTGTTTTATCAAAATGAAGTAGTATCCCATGGGTTAAGATATTTTTCAGAATTCATGTCTCGATTAATTTATCCTGAATAAAACATTTGATCCGGATTAATGGAAAAGTCTTAGAAGTAGTGCTTATAGAATCATATCTGAAACATAGCTTACATCTGAAAAATATTTTACTGCACACAACCTGATGTGAAACCATTAGGATGAGTAGAAAAGTGTTACTAGTACATGTACAGTGCAGGTGCTTAAAGAATCTAAACTATCTGATGTAAAATATTCCAGAAACATAATGCCTTTCATAACTAGACTGTGAAGATTCTATTGATCGATGGTTTCTTGAAAAAGGATGCACAATTCAGATCAGGACAACAAAACCTTATTCCTAAAGACAATACCATGTGATACTCTAGTGAAGAAGGCTTTCATTAAATCATCTATTCTCAACTCATCATCCCAAATCAGCATCACAAGTTATGTTCCTTTATTCAACATTGAACCACCACTCATTATGTTGTAACTATTATTAGTTTTAAAGACCAATGGGAACATGGGCACTAGTATGATGAAAGTAATTTGTGAGAGAAACTAGTGATTTTATGCACCCAAAAAAAATTCAACTTTTAAAATGCTTCAGGATTATCCCTCCTAAAATGATGTGTAATCTTTGTCTGTAAAATTTGATCAGTACAAAGTATCTTGTTTGATGATTTCTTGGGAAGTGTCAGTTTTTAAGTTTTCAGAAACCTGCTGGTAGTGTTTCAATCAGTCAGATAAATACCAAAATAGCCATTTCATTTAATTTTGCTAACTTTCCCAGAAAAACCTATCACCTTTAACACTTCAATCCTACTGATTTCCCAGTAATCCCCTGCAAAGCCTCGGCCGATTGAAATGCAATATTGGGATTCATCATACACGTGAGTTTGAAACCATCAATCAGGGAAGAGCTAGCGTGCAGTTCGGCTGGCTCTCCCTCACTGACCTAAAGGTGTACCGTGACGTCCACATACCTCAGCAAGATTCCCTTGCGACACTCAATCCTAAATCCAAGAATGCAGTGATGGGATGACCATTCCTTCTAGTGATTGAAGTCACGATCCATAGATTTTAAATGATATATTACAAAGGAGATATAAATATTTTTGGAATATTTGGTGAGTGTACCCTGAAATAGAAGTTAAAGAGAATAAAACGAGGAAACCTAAAACTGACTTACGTAGTGAAAATTTACTAATCACTGAAACCATAAGCAAAGATTATGAAATCATCTGCAAAAGACATAGTTTTAACTTGTAAACTTCAAGATTCCCTCATTCATAAATGAGAAATGCCTGAACAAGGCCCCCAAATTATGAAATGTGTTGCACAATTCAAATGTACTTTAAATTGGATTTAAAAGTTTAAGATAAAAGCATAAATTAGATCATACACTAAGAGACTTCAATGGAAAATGCTTTATAAGCACCATTTTATTATTATTATTATCTCGAAGAAAGTGAGAAGGCAACATCATATCCTCGATTTCTTTCTTAATCAAGTGATCTATCAACAGGCAGAGTGACCTGCGGCAATTGTTGCTATCTCTTACATTCCAGTAATACTTTACCCACAATCCACCCCTCTCATGACATCATCGGTGCTCTTGACCGCTACGACCCCTGACCCAACGTGCCATTGTCAAGTTGATCTTCTCTGTGCCAGTGTCGTGAGGAAATCGTGCTCAATATAGTATCTCACTGGATACGATCTGAATTCGTAGTACCGGTAGTTGCATGATAAAACACACATCTTCTATAAACTCTAGCCCAAGTTATCCTGGGCTCAGCATAAAATAGTTACGTCTAAGAATGTTTGTTCAACACTTAATTTTTTTCTCATAGAAACAGATATAGAGGGTAGAAAAAAGCATGTGAGCTCCCAAGACTGAGAGTTGGAAATATAAAAGTTACCAAAGTAATTTCTAAAGGGTAAAAGTTGGTATGAGAAATCCCTACAATTGTTTGCTAGTTTTAGTTGAATTTTCAAAATATCTAACTTAGAATTTTCAAAGTTAGAAATGTTGATTCATGTTGCGTTGTATATAACTGACTTACCACTAGACTAAAAATCTTTTCACAAAAAAGAGTAATTATTTGAATACAAAGAATATTCAAGTAAGACAGGATATAGTTCCAGCATGCGATCATCAATTAAGAACGCTTCAAGGCACATGCATCATTGAATCTATAAAGAACCAATAACAAATCAAATCATAACTTTGATTTCAACAATTAAAAGCAGGAAAAATCGTTTTCACTATTGTCAGGTCTGAGAATAGAGCCCGCTTTGATCTCATTTATCTTCCATGGAGCTTGTCACAGATGACAGATTTTGGAAGATTGAGCTAAATGATTCATGTCCTTGTGTTTAAAAAAAATCATGAGGCAAAAAGAATTGAATAGGAGTAGAAGGGTGCACCTGGTAGATAGGAATTTATTGGTCGGATTAGACTTGGGAGTCAATAGTGTTGAAAGAGAAAATCTGGGTAGAAGTAAACAGAGGGAGACTATGAAAAATGGATTTTGGACTTTCTGACAATGACATTTGTCAACTTTGGCTTGTTAGAGCTGTACATATTGAGGTACAAAGGAAAATACAAAAAATGAAACCTGATAGGGCACTATTACCATCGTAAAGCAGAACATAGCGTCCTTCACTTGTAGAGGGGGTTACAAAAAGGAAAAAACACATGAAACTGATCAATATATTAGAAACGAAGAATACTGTAAGTCAGAAGAAACAAGCATTTAACATGATTCTATATATATAAATGACAAATTCTGTCAATTTTAGTTTATATACATTGCATATTTGTAAGATTCTTAACGTTTGAAAAATGTCACAATTCAGTCATTAAGCTTATGTGATATGTTTCAGTATACTAATTCAGTTGATATGCAGTTCTTTATATCACTACTAAGGCAAGGTAAAAAGAAAAACTACATAACAATATGGTCGTTCAGCACCCTCAAAATACTTTCTACCTTCAGGCATAAAAGGGTATTTATATGACCAGATCGAGGGTCGGTGAACTATAAGAGTTCCCAGACAAGAATCCCGACAAAAGACTGCACTGAAAACCAAGGAGTGATACCATATATGGTCAGGTGGAAGGTCTGAACAGGGGTCCTATATTATCTACCAAATTTGGCATATATAATGGTGCTTGCTCTCTCTCTCTCTCTCTCTCTCTCTCTCTCTCTCTCTCTCTCTCTCTCTCTCTCTCTCTCTCTCTCTCTCTCTCTCTCTCTCTCTCTCTCTCTCTCTCTCTCTGATCACAACCCCTTAGAGAATTAGGCAAAGTTTTAACAAAAATATACTAAATAAATAAAGATAACATACTAATGAAGGTAAATACTAATAAAGATAATATACTAATAAACATAACATACTAATAAAGATAATATACTAATAAACATAACATACTAATAAAGATAATACACTAAAAAAGATAAAATACTTTTACATGATTAAAATTACCAGCTTGAACTTCCTGATGGACATGTTGTCAACACATTTCAGGAAATATTTTTCCATTCCACCACAAATGGTGTAGCAAAAATGAAAGTGGCAATAGCTAATAACAAATCATATGCAGACAAAATATTATGAAAGGCCCAGGGAAATACTTTTTTTCTTCCAAAGTTGGATACAAATGAGCTGCACTCGTGATCAGGCCAACTACAAATTCACACATCTCAATTTTCACACAAAAGATCCCCTGTTCATTAGAGATGTTGATAAGTCTCAACAGACTCAGAAATTAATATCTTTATTCATAAGCACCCAGCAACATATACAAAATTTCCATTCTTTTCTGCCACACTCATTAAGGGCTGTAAGCAGTTTATTTTGCTACAACTGACAATATATTGCAATACAGTGCAATTTTTTTTAGTACAAAGAGGCAAACTAATTATAAATATCAATATACATACATATGGAAGTAAAGATGTGAAAATAAAATCTTGACTCATAAGTATTCAATGCTCTAGGAAACTGGAGGACGCTACAAGTACAAAAGTAAATTTGAAATTTCTAGAAATATCCCCCTCATTAGCCTTTATTTACTGTTCTCTATTTTCTCTGCTTGACCCTGTGGGGAATAATAACAGTCCCATGTGTTAAGATTTACGTCATGCTGTGATTACTGCAACTCTAAGGCAGCGATACAAATATGAATGCAGTGTGACTTTAAGCTCTTGACAAGTGAAGCGAATCTCAGCATGGGACGGCAATTAAGAGACCAAAATAATGCTTTAAAGGGGTGTGCATGCCTGGAGGCAAAGATCTTACTTACAATTAGTGGGACTCTAATTGCATGAGAGGCTAGAAGTCATTCTCATTATTTTTGTTTCATTTCATGCAATATGTTTTCAAAGACTGAAAACTCTTGGTGGTGTTTTTGTATTATGATTTTCATTTTCTTACATACAAGAGGGTGTGGAATATTTGTAATACAATGACTATGAACAGACTTTTAGTTGATATTCAAATGAATCTTTAACGAGGGTTTTCTATAAGAAAATGATTACTTTACCAAAACAGGATAAGTCGAGGGGTTGCAATCGATAAAAGAATACATGGAGATTCTTACGGAATATCCTTAGGTTCTTTTCTAAATATCTTAATGTTTAGTAGAATTTCATGTCACTTGATTAAAACCATACAATAGATTTTGTATGTTTGTGTAGTCTCCATGACTAAACCACTCTCCTTTGGTTTCATTTTTCTCTTTTTTTAAATAGCAATCCGAGTCAAAATCTTCAAGCAAAAGCTGAAGCTGCCTAATGGACAACGGTATGAGATAAACGACCCTGAGATACCTGACCTACCCATCGAAGTACTCAGCCAGTCACACAGGGAATGGTCTGGGGTGATTCAGAAAGTCTACAAGGGGTTTGAAAAACTAAAACACACCACGACCGTTAATATCTATTCACCTTTCTACGATTCAATGTGTGGAGTAGGAACACTGATGAATGATGAAAGCTATGTTATCATGGGTAAGTAGCCAAGAGGTTCCTCTAATATACAATGAAGAAGTTGAACATCTTATTATTTGTATTCCTGTAAACATATCATCTGTTTGGAGCCTGAGGAGAATTATCAAATTTACTTTCAAACAGAGTAAAAAAACTTCTGGCTTTGAGCAGATGATAGCTTTTCAAAAATGATATAAATTTGATTGCTACCAAATCTTTGAAAGAGCGATATCTATCAAAAATATGAGTTATATAATGATTAGAATAGCAGGGACAATATATTTCAAATAAGAGCATTACCCCCCCCCCCCCCCAACAAAAACAAAAAACAAATTTTTGTATTCCTCTACCAAACTGAATTACAAGCAAATCTGCTTTAAGCTGTGCATGTATGAACTCAGCGAATCAGAAGTAGATATTGAAATACTTCAAAACTGTCTCTTCTCATGCAAGAGCAAGAAAATTCCACCAAATCTACCTCTATCAAGAAAAAACATTGTCTTTTCAAATTTCATGTATATTTTTTAACTCCCTCGATGTGAAATATAATATCCATCATGTCCATGTTTTGTTCACAGGTACATTTGGCCATGGAGGACTTAACTTTGATTTCTGTGATTGGCATCATTCATGGAAAACGGTCACATCAAAGCAGAGGAGAGGTCTCAAATACTGGTATGCTGAAAACTGCAGTTGTCAGGTGAGTTTCTAGTTTGTTTGTCTGCTTTTTCTTTTAATATCATAGTTTGTCAAACCTGGTAGATACTATGTCTGGTAGTTACATCAAAGTTTCAGCAGCTTTGCCTGCCTAAGATATGACACAGCAGATGTACTGCATCTGCGTATTGAAACACCCCGATTCCTGTCATGCTGGCCTATATTGCATACATTTGGGGGGTTTTATATGTCAACTACTCTTTGTTCTTCCCTAGTCTTTCATATTTTTTTCTTTTGCAAAAGAAGACTGATATTGTATGTGTTACAAAATTGCACTACTATCTCTACATCTACCACTGATAAATGCAACTGAGCTGAACTAAATCATCAACTACTTTTACAACAAACTTTAGAATTTTCACAATAGTGATCAGCTACTGCATTGTCAGATGCAGATAAAACAAATATTTCCCCTCTACCGTCTCTTAAAAAAAAGTAAAATGAACACATATGTTATAGACAAAATTCCACAAAATGTGGAGCCGACTTGGCTATAGAATAATGTTTCCATTTGCTACAAAGTATAAGGCAGAATGTAAAATAGTTGACACTGAGGTCAACTTGTCTCAAAACTTGATTGGATAATGGCATAACATCTGCCTATATCATTATCGTGACAGCTTAATCATGAGTCTCAAAGAAAATAACTTGACCAGACTCACCAAGTTTATACCGTCATACTGAGAGCTGGAGGGGTGTTATAATGTTGCTGCCCTTTTGGCTCTCAGGGAATGATAAACCAATTTCCATTGAGAGTACTATGGAATGAGACTTCGTCACTTGAGATGTCAAAATATCTTACCATATTTCTCCCATCATTGTTTCAATTACACTGCCAGGATTTAAAAAGTACACAGAAATTTCTGTCTCGTAGAATTCATTTTATATCATCTGTAAGCTGAAAGAAATAAAACAATTTTGTATGTTTGGAGCCAGAAAGATATTAACTCTGTATGAAAGTATATGAGTTAACGCCCTTCTGACTCCAAACAATCAATTTGCCATGCTTCCAGAAATTATTCATTTCTTATAAAGCATCATGAAGTTGCAGTTTAATTAGGTGATAGAGAAAATAAGACATTTTCTCATCTGTAAGCTATACAGAAACATTTGCTATATGCTTCCTTATTGTGAAACTTGTACTAAACTGAGTAATAGATAATCAAAGTGGAAGTGTTTTGGCCATCATGATTTGGAATATTGACATTATTGAGTTCTGAATGGGACAATATTTCTTATACCATTACTCTGCTCCACTTTCATCGCCAGTTCTGATATCATACAAACCCTAAGCTATATTGATGGACATTCCTAGATGGCATTTATAGAGGGTTACTTGACTCACAAGTTGATTATATCTCAGGCCGAAGTAGTCTTTACTCTGCTATCTATAAACTCAAGTTCACTGGAGTCTGAACAATTATACATGTAGACTATACCCTCTCCATTTTGCTCTGAGAGCAGGAACTGATTCTGCCTTGCTGCAAGGCTAGACTGTATGGTTCATGAGAATGTAAGACATCTGTACTATTGAGAGGAGATATCATATCTAGAATGTTTGGGCAGGGAAGAATTGTTTGTTTAAAAAGAGAGATAAAGAGGTGTGGTGACATGCATTTGTCAAATGTATTGACAGATATTAATGCACAGACCATGGGGAAAAGCCTCCTTGAATTGGAAAAAGACAAATTCCCAATAGATTCATTACTTGATATTCTAGTTTACTATCGTTTGCGTTTTGTTATTTTCAGCAGCTCCCTGATTCCTCTGACAAAATGAGCTGTAATGATATTATTACCTTCATACTAACCGAGTCGGTACAACACAAATGTATGCAAATAAGGTAAATATGCACTCAACAAATAATTAATGATAACATTTCATTCTTTCTTTTTGGTCTTTTTCTCAGATTGATACATGTGGATTGCGGCATCCATGCGGGGAGGCACAACCAGAGGCTTCACCTACAGGGTGTGAGTGGGACGCGTGGCACAGTAGATGCACCAATCAGCACACAGCGTGCGTGATGACGGCACAGGGCTGCCAATGGCACCAATCAAAGGACTTGAAGCAATGTTTGAAAGCACCCTGATATGGATCTAGAGATTGAACACAGCACTTCAAGATAAAGTTTTGCCTTTAATAACATCTTGACTGCCACTCACAGTGCAGCTTGCTAAGCTCCTTGTGCAACTATGAACACTTTGTGGTGCAAGGTTTCACTGGTAGCACTGAAAGTGTTAAAGGGTGCTAGTTTGCACCCACAGCACCAACAATATCAAGCAGTGAAGTTTTTCAACGAGAGCACTGAAAGTGTCAAAGGGTGCAAGTTTGTTTTGCCACTAGCACTGTAAGCGTTAAGAGTGACCTTTTTGCAGGATGTTGGCAAAAATAGAAGAACAAATGAAATGAAAAATTGAGTATTTTCCCCCAAATCAGTATTGGCTCAAAGCAGTGCATTTTTATATTCAATCATTTTAGGCTACACAACACCATTCCAATAGAATCCTTTATGTTTATTTACTTTTATATGACAGAAAGTGATTTCTTGACCCAAATTTCTGTTTAAATTAATAATATCTCACTTAAAGAAGTCACCAGTCAGTCCCGATAATGCATTACAAATGTAGCATTTATAAACATAAAATAATAATGAAGAATAAGACTGTAATTCCAATATTTGTTTAAGTTTCAGATTTAAGAATTACAAGTACTTGAAATCAAAATCAGCATTATAAATGACTATATCCACCACTGTATCTTATTTTGAAGGTAGCAATATTTGCTACAAATAATTATAATCATATGCATGAATGGTCAAGATTTGAATTTAGATATGTTTGAAAATATATGAAAATGTGAACATGCCTTGATTGAATCTTTAAATTTTGTATAAAAATTTGTACATAAGAAATGCAAAAAATATGTTATGTGCTTGTCTTTTTATATATACACGTATAATGTAAAATGTTTGTTTAAAATGCTGTCTATATGTCTATAAACTTTCTCCATCCATTTCAGCTCTTTTTCTTATGAAATCTTTGCTCATCTATCATATGTTTTCCATATAAAATATGTTAATAGCACTTGTTCTGAATAATCTTTATTCAACTAAATTGAAAAATACTTTCAGTTCATTATATCAGGATTTTCACAACAAAAGGCTTTTTATTTCTGTCCCTGATTGCATTCTTTGAATGTAAAACTGGATTTTTAGGGGACTGAAACAAGAATCAACAGTAATATCACTTACGAGACAGAACTAAGAATAGTCTGTTTAATAGTCAAATAATCTTCTTCATGTTTCTTTCATTTCTGATTCTTCTCATTTTTAATGTTACCTTGTGCAATGTGCTAAATATTGTATCATCATTATTTTGCAGTGTTATGTTTGTTGTATTTTACTTGATGAATGTCTATGTTTATGAATAAATGAATGAAAGAAGGAAGGAAGGAAGGAAGAAGGAAGGAAGGAAGAAGGAATTATGAAAATAGCATTATAGTCACAAATCAACAGGGAAAGAAAGATTGATGGTGTACAAACCTGTCACTTGCAAGTTATTTCTAATTATACATTTTGTATGGTAACAAAGTAAATCATGAATGTAAACGGTAGAATTAACAGTAACATACCATATCTACTACTTTACTTTAGAATAGCTCTATCATACATAACAAAGTTATTGTATTCCAGACACAAAATCATTATCATTTCATAATTTCACTACTTAAGTGCAAGAAGGGAACTACAATTAGTAGCTTTATAAAGTCTGAGTGTCTCTCTTCCTCTCTGTGACATTGATTCAAGGCTCATCATTTATGATTTATTCTTGAATCTATTGCCTGCATGAAATTACTCTTCTACAATAATGCACGATGAGAATCAAAAGATTATAAGAAATATATTTAACCATGTGGTAATCATACTAAAATATACAAAAGTATACAATGTTTCATAGAGCTATTATTTTCCAACTGTGATTTCTTGAAAAGTGCAAGGGAAAAGTAAAGTAAGAATCTTGTGTAGAATGGTATGTAACATGCTCTACTACATAGAAGCATACATACAAATTTGCTTTGAAAGATAATGACATTGTGATGAGAAAGTTTGGTCTGTAAGTTGAAGGACAAAAGAAATATTTCTGATGCTGAATTTACATGCTTGAACTAAGTCAATGTATGTATTTTCATTCACCAATGATTTCTATATGTTGTATAGTTTGCTTTATGCACTTATCTGTAACATTCATTTCGTCTTTCACACCGTATATGAGTGTGTCACTATAAGAAGCCTTCTTCTTTTCTAAAGAAATAAACATTTTGTAAAAGTAACTATATTCTTGTGTTGATGTTTGTTTTTGTCTCATGAGAAATTTTGCAGATATTTTGATTTGGGGTATGTAAGAAAGATGTGTGTGTGGGGGTGTGTGTCTTTGCTTATTGGCTCACATGAAAGTACTCCCAACACACATAGGCACACATAGCAAGACAAAGTAACTTAATCAAATTAATTTTTAAAGTGTCAAGTTATATTGTACAATATAATACACAATCATATACAATGCCGATGTCTAACATAAAATTCTCAGAGAGCAAAGAAGATAAATAGTGAAACCTCCTGGTTTGAACACATGTGCAAAAAAGCACATCCACTGTATCATATATCTACAGTGTAACACTATAATAGGGACACTGCATATATGTAAATATCAGAAAAGAGGAAGTAATTTTCACATTAGCAACATACATCATTACTCTGTTATCATCTGGTTCTGGCATCCCAGTGTTTGGGGGGAGGGGGGAGAATAGGGTGCTCTTTTCTGATTGGTTCAAGCTAATATCTAACCATGAGTATAAATCACTAACAAACTGAATGAGACTGAAGAACAAAGCTGACAGCCTAACATAAATCAATGGTGAAAAATGACTCACCGACTATTAGGAGTCCTAAAAAGCAGCCCATTTTCAGCGAGGGACTACAGTGCTATGTAATTAATTAAAAGGGTGCTGTGGACATTAATGTGCTCCTTATTCTTAAGAGGCTCTACATCGAAAATGGAGAGTTTTAAAGATAGAATCACTAAACTGAATGCTGGATTAATAATGGGGGAATAATGTATATATCTTACACAATAGTTGATTTAAGAAAATGCCAATGTACTTGTACCCATCACAGAAGTAATACTATACCATTGTTGCATTTATTTTCCTAATTGTATTTGAGGTACACTGGTCTTTGTCTGATTGTGCCTAATATGCCTCCTATTTTCCCTCCCTTTCTTTTGATTTCTCTTTCCCTTGTATCACTCAAAATTCATTTTTCCTTCTATTTTCTGTAAAAGAAAAGAACACAAAATACATATAGTTCCTTCTAACTATCAACCTTTTTGCACATACATACAATAACCATTTGTTCACATAACTAGAAAATCACATTATGTGTCTAGCATTTTCTCATGCTCTTCCATCTCTACCTCTTTGTCTGCATCTGCATGCAGCTCTCCTTATGTCTCTCTCTCTCTCTCTCTCTCTCCCTCCCCTCCATCTTGAATTTTTATATTTATTTCATTCCCTCCCTTACATTATCTCTCTCTTACCCATTCCTCTCTTCTCTTTCTCCTCGTCCATCTCCTCCTCGTCACCATCAGTCATATCTCTCTCTCTCTCTCTCTCTCTCTCTCTCTCTCTCCCACTCACCCACATCCCCATCTCTCTTTCCCTCCACCCGATTTTCTCCACCTCTTTCTTTACCTCCCCTCCCCTTCCCCTCTCAATCTCCATCTCCGCATCTCTCATTCTCATATTGAATGTCAGTGACACTTGCCGTCTCTTCAATGATTAACGACACTAGATTAATTATCAACTCTGGTGATCTGAGCATGTGTTGGTTAGTGCTTAAAGACGACCAAGTGCTTCTTCCGTTGATTGATGGGCTACTAACGCTACCTCAACAGCTCTAAAGCACTTTCCTTCCCTCCCACAATAACTAATTAATCTCCATGCAAACCCACCACTTGCATATTCAAGGGTAGATCAGCAGTATAATATTATACCAAAATCATTGCCAACGTGATATTAATCCATTGGATCTGATTTTAGTGTAACATGGTTTTTGCAGACTCTTCGCCAGTTACTTTGGGCTTCTTTATTCAATGGGTCCAACAAAAGATGTTGGAGGGTAAAGCAAAGGGGATATCAGAAAAAGATAACAGAAGGGGTAAACCAGCAAAATATAGCAAAAATTGGGGCTTATTCATCATTAGTAGATTAATATAAATAGAAATATTATATTAACTCAGAAATAAGTTGGGCATGAAGCTTAAATGAGGCAGAGAAAAAGGTAAATATTGCAAATCTGTTATTGTGTCGCAATAATTGGTAATATGGGGAGAGCACAATTGGTTTTAAGATTGCAAAAGATAGGGGTATACTAGCAAAGCGATTTGAATATTTTTAGATTAATATGAGTATCATTATTATATTAGCTTGGGTATAAAGCTTTCATTAGAAGTCAATGAGATGGAAACAAATTATAAACAGAAAAATTTATACCAGTACAAATATCAATTGTTCTAATTTCATTAATAGAAACTGGAAGCATCAATTTAAAAGCTCAAAAAGTACTGAGCATAAAAGCTTAATTATGGTGAAAATCATGAAACATCATTAGAGGTATTTGCACCACAACAAAATGGTAACTAGTTTGTTTTGACTTTTTAAATCATATGAGCTTTAAATGAACACTGTAAATAGATTACGATGATTAATGATTAACTAATAACTAAAGCTGGATTTTTCCTTGATAAGAATGGGACTGAAACAAAATAATATATTGTGAAACATTTGGTGGCAATTAATCAAAGACCTTTGTCAAGGGGGATACGGACATTTGGAAAGGGCAGTACCAGAAACATATAAGCCTACCATTTCTCGCATGGTATTAACAAAATATTACAAGAGATGAATAAGGATATATTTATAGAAAAATTCATATGTGGGCACGTAGATTTAATGAGGGATAAATGAAACAGAAATAGCGATTGGATATGATGAAAGCATGGCTGTGGTGTTTGAGGAAGTGGGTGCAATGGAGTGTGGTAATAAGGAATTGGTTGGCTGACTGCATATGGTCTGGCACAAGGCAATGAATGCAGCTAACCTAACAGAGAAACAAAGGCTCTAAGGATGCAGGTTGAATACGAGGGGGAGAGCAAGGCAGAGAGAAACATAGAGTGAGACAGAGAGACAGAGGGAGAGAGAGAGAGAGAGAAAGAGAGAGAGAGAGAGAGGGAAAGAGAAAGATAAAAGCACAAGAGAAAAACTGAGATGGTTCTGATCATGAAGAATACACAGCAACAGCAAGATTGTATAATGAGAGATAGAGAAAGAGAAAGAGAAAGATAGAGAGAGAGAAAAAAAAAGACAAACATACACAGACAAACATACAGACAGAGAAACAGAGAGCAAGAAAGGGAGACAAGGGAGAACTAACAAATGTATGAAAATAAAAAAGATGTAAGGTGTAAGAGGTATAAGATCCAGGAAAGGAAAAAACAAAGAAAAATGTGATAAATGAAATTGACAATATAAAGAAAGTAAGCTTATTTTAACTAAACAGAGGTTGGCATAAGCCTGGATGTTAGAAAAATAGAGAGACAGACAAAACTAAGGAGCACATGCACAAACGTAAAGAAGGTAGACTGAAGGAAAGAAATGGAGGAAATTGGCATGAATGAAGGTTCTATCATTATGAACTTCCCTTACAGCCTCACAGACCAATCAGAGTCCTAGTTAGGAAATCCAACCAATCAGCAAAGAGCAATCTCCTGACCTCATTCCATCAAGCAGAGGGCCGGGAAGCAATGTCCGTCCGTTCATTGATTGGCTGGCGTAGCAGGGCAGGGCATGACAGTGACGTGATGCCACGGCTCTCTGCACCAGGCCTTGTCATCAACCCCTCATAATTGGCGAGTAATGTCAAAGAGTAAAGCAAGATAATGGATGGCCAGCTCCTGCTTTGCCGGCGTTTCAAGGAGAGTGTGTTGTTGGGATGCACGCACCTCACGCTACCATTCTTTCTTGCTACAGATCGCCCTCTGTTGATGGTCACATTTTTCATAGCAACAAAACATCTCCAAGATAAGTTGAAAACCTGTGTTATCTGTTTGCATCATGTTGCTAACTATGATAATAAGTAATGACCATCTTAATACTGTAAATGATCATATCTAAAAAAAAGTTGAAGTCGGACCTCTCTACATATATTTCTCCCTTCTTAATACATCTATTTGTTACATCTCTCATTTTTCACAATCTCTCTCTCTCTCTCTCTCTCTCTCTCTCTCTCTCTCTCTCTCTCTGTGAACCAGACTCTTGACCCCATTCCTAACTACTATCTATTCCTCTTTCTTCATCATTTCCATCTTCTCATTATATATATATCTCTCCTCCATGACAGTGTCATCACTTACCATTTCCCGATGATTAGGAAAGAAAGCTTGGTCAACGAGGGGGAACTTCTCCTTGCCCAACTTCTCCTGGCGAGTAGTCAGCTGTGAAAACTGTGCAAGAAAGAAAAGGAAGAGTTTTAAGTGTATTTTTTTTTAACGAAGACCACTCAAGAGGGACAAGAAATTCTGTCTCTACAGTCAGGTTATCTTAATATACAGATTTGGTAAATGAGAGGAAATTTCTCCTTGCCATTCTCCTTTCGGACGAGTACTTCGATTTGACAAATGCAAATGCATAAGAACACTGTACAACAAAAGGAAAGAGTTTTGATAAGAGAGTGAAGCCTGTCTATAAAGACCATTCAAGGGAGACAAGAAAAGCAACCTTTTTCAGGCAGGTAGTCTTTATATCCAAATTATTTTATATAAAGTATCAGAAAAAAAAAGGAAATTATAGACCACTATCAGTTTACGCAATCCTCTGCTGAAATAGTAAGAACCAAAAAAAAAGGCCTTTAGAGAATAAAGTGAGACCTGTCTATAACGGCTAGTCAATGGAGACAAGAAAAGTGGTCTTGATAAGCAGGTTTCCCTTATATACCCATTCCTTCATGATACATTGCAATGAAAACTTATCAAGGGTGAAATTGATATGTTTTTTTTATCCAGATGGTAGCTAAAACAATTTTAAGTTTTACTAAAAAATGAAGGAAAAGAAAACAATTACTTGCCATAATTTTTACACAATTATCCAAGACTTTAGAAGGCAGAATGTAATCCCTTTTTATTCAATTACAAAATTAAAAAAAATCATAAGTTGGCTACAATCTTCTCTCTGTATCCATAAAACTTACCACCCATGGTTTGTCCATGAAGTTGTAGACTACTTGCCAGGAGTTCAAGCTCGGTACATTACCGTACTGGAACCCTATGACAAGGTTACGCCAATCCTCCTGTACCTCCATACTGCGTGCATGCTGGCGTACCAACACGTAATCAGGCTTGAATGTTCTGAAAGAGCAAAAAAATAAATATGGTTTTTGCCTGCGCTTTGATTTTGTTTTGCTCTTACATACAAATGTTTAACCTTTTAATGAACCACCTTATGATGGTATGTAATCATTCAAAATACTGGAAATGAGTTGATATACTGTGAAATTCCTGAATTCCAATATAAGAAATGAAATGAAATGAATGTGGGAAAAGCAAAATCCTTTTAATTATCAAAAAGTGAAGTTATTTAAGAATTATTGATACTGCCACACTTTTCAGTAAAAAGAATAGAACAAAATAAGAATGTTAACAACAGAGAAAGAGGGAGAGAGAGATAGACTGAAAGAATGATAGATTGATTGACAGTTCGATATATACACAGACAGGGAAAAATAGATAGAAAAAGAGCACGAGATAGAGAAACAGAGAGAGAAAACTTAACAAATATTGAGTAACATAATCCCAAATATGTCATCTAAATATTTTAAAATATAGAATATGAATTACTGAATTTCTAATGAAGACATGCACATTTTGGCTGCAACCTCCATAAATGTACAAAAACAGAAGCTATATAGTATTAGAGTACATTCAATGATTGACACCCTCAATGGTAATATACTGCCCTCTCTTGCCAACCACAATCCATTTCTCCTTAATGCTTCAGCATACTTTCTGAAGTCCTCCTGTATTTATAGAAATAAACAAGTGGGAATTCTCCCATAATTGTTTTCTCCCCTGCAGAGTGGTGAATGCATAATGGCATTTGAAGATTAATCGCTTTCTTCAGAAATACCTCTGGCCTTGGGCAGAGAGAGAGTACGTGCCATTTCAAAACGTTGGCACATTTACCTGGCATGCAAATACAAGATGGACGTAATCTAGGACTTGATTATGAACCTAGACGGCAGATTTTTGATTGTCAATTAATCAAGCGAAAGAAGTGTTTTCCTCTTACTCAAATCTCCTTTTCACCTTAATTTACTGCTGACATGTTAAAGGCAGTGATTGCAAGATTCTTTCATTTTTATGAGGTTGTTAAACTCAGAAGTTGTGATTATAATTGAATTGGTTGCTATGGTTACCTGACAACTCTTTGTCCTTGTCTGATGCCACGCATGTCTACGGTCACCCCAGCATCGCTGTAGGAGGCAAGGTTCAACTCAGAAAACTCACACTGTATAGAAATGTAAAGGAGAGGGGAAGAAATGAGTGACAATTAAGCGAAGGTATACATTTTCCATTCCCATATTTTAAATTTCATTCAATAGGGTTAAATCTGACAGCCGATAAAAGGATCACAACAAATTATGTTCAGATGTTCAGAGCCATAAGGACAATAATACTATGTTAAAGGATATGTATTAGCACTAGTATGGACCTCAGCAGAATATAGTCAATTATTATCTATACAAGGCTTCCAAGTAGTACAATAAATCAGTGTATCTTTAGCGCTCAGTCATATCCGGAACTTCAACTATCGATATCGATATCATATCGATATCACACGAAAACAAAGCCATATTTGCCAAGGTAATTCAAATTTTGTAATTTTGATAGTCAACTTGATATAGATAATAATAATAATAATATTGTATGGCTTTGTTTTTCGTATGATACAAGAATATATTGCTCTCGATCGCTATGACAATATTGTACTCGTCTCTGACTCATTCAATATTATAGCTCTAGCAATATATTCTTGTATCACACTCAAAGCCATCCAATATTATATAACTACTCATTGATGGCAAACATATTGAACACCAATTGGTAATCAAACATAAATTGAAAAAGATTTGATGAGATCATTGTTTTTAGTACTGTTCCAAACTCTCAATCACTTATCCAGAATTTTCAATCAGTTACCCCCAAATTTCCAATCACCTATAGTAAAGTAAGTATACTCCAAGAGATAATTCACTACAATTCACATCTACATTTTCAATTTCATAAAGATATAAAAAGAAGCTCAATCATTTTTATCAGACTACAACATAACACATGATAACTGTTTTTTTAATATGACACATACAGCAATTTTTAGCTAAATCTTTTTTTTAATGTTTTATAAGAGTGTAAAATCAGAAAAAAACAAAATCTTGTGCAAACTAAATATTTTAAAGATTACTAAACTGGAAACATGAACAACAATGCTTTCAAGAAATTAGCAGAAGGGCAATCTCAATATGCTTTTGTAATGCCAATAGAGATCCTGCTTGGGTTTGTCATCAAATGTCATCGTAATGTTCTAACATATCAAAATATGATACACGAGGCTAATGTAATTATATTTTAATGTCCCTTTAGAAAGTCTTTATAATCCTGTTCAGAATGATTCTCATTTTACGAAACCAGACAAAGACTCATCGCAATCATTCTTAAAATATCCTTAACATGATCGATGGACAACCAGATATCTTTCCATCATGCATCAAGAGAATGGGCTTGATGTCAGCTCAGCCATTTCCAAAGGATTAAATCACATTGAATTAACATCCATTATGAACAGAGAGTATTCTCAAGCACAGCTATATAGCACGATCTGGGGATTACTTTTCACAAAGTGATATCTACTCGCGACAGCTTGGGGTCTTGGTTTTTTAACTCTAGACCTTTTTATACCAACCAAGAGGAGAGTCTTAATATGACAGTAGGTAAGATATAGGGAGTGCTGGCAGATTCAGAAAACATGAAATATGAGATATTAATATGATTAAGCACAAGCTCCTGGGAAGAAAGGAGTCCTACCTCATCACTGTGTTAGCTCACTAGCATGTTGTTCAAACAGATTTTTAACTGACGAAATTAACTGTCCAGAGTAGCAGGGGAAACAATAACGGCCGATTCACAGTCCACAGTGACATAAAGCAACACCAATGTTTAGTAAATTTCATGTCATGCATTATGGGAAAAAATATCTACAAAATATCAGTCGAGCCATATATATATCCTCAGAGATGAGATTTAACCCTCAAATTTTGATTGGGGAGGTTTGAATGGCTTACTTGTAGTCTTATTGACCCTACACATGATGCTATGGTCATTTTGGCCACTTTTTTGCCCAAACTGACCATTTTGGTCAGGGATAATTTTTCCAATCATTGTTATCAGGAAAGGAGTTTTGATGGGCCTATTCTCTTTCAAAATGTTTCTTGACACTAGAAAAAATGGTCAAATTGACTCCCATCAACATTTTGGTCAATTCTGTTCCTTCTATACATGGAGAAATTAATTTAGTTCATCCTATCCACAAAAAAGAATAGTTCAATCCGTAGCAATTGAAACAATTTTTTATATTTAATAAAAAAAAATATGACGACATTAATCGGCTGATGCTTTAATATACAAAAATATGATTACCAGCCTTAAATTCTGAAAGTTCTCAATAAGAAGACTTAATTACTCTTCAATCAATATCATATGAATCACTTTGCCAGATAAAACTGTGCGACATGCCACAAGTCATCGTGATAGTATATGGCAAAACTTATGAAGGAGAGAGGCACCCACCTTTCGTTGGGAAAAGAGAAAATGGAATGGCAGGAAGTATCAAGGAATTGCCATCATGGGAAAGCTTTCATCAAAAAAAGCTTTCAGGTTATTAATCATGATCAATTTATTGGTTGACCACTTATCACTCATAATTTCCTCTTTCTTGCTTTTTGTCTGCATGTTTGCCTTAGTTTCTTCCTGTATTTGTCTCTGTCTATGTGTATTTTCTCTCTCCCTCTCTTCTCCTCCCCCTCTCTCGCTCTTCCTTCTAACTATCAAGACTTGTTTATATACAACGTGGTAAACAGCATCATATTTTAACGATATGATAATACAACACGCTTTTTATTTTATTTCAGTATCTTAAACACATACACAGACAGTGAGCATGTGTAGGACCAATATTGCACATGTATTAGCTAATTGTTTGTACCTTCATGTCCCATTTGCTTGACACTTCTGGTTCTAGTCATAATTGAACAAGCCATTATTTGAGGAGAGGGGGGGGGGGGGCATGGACAAGACAAAGTTGAATATCTGCTCTACTTTTTCTTATTCCACACTTACCTAGACCCTAATAAATCTTGAAAAAGATGATATCCAAATAAAATCCAAAAGACTATCACTTTCACTCTTGTATCTGTTCTACCTTGACTTCTTCTGTTGTTCTTATTAAACATAATACTCTCCTTTTCTTCTGTCTCTATTAAAACCCAATCAGGTCTCCAAATGAAGTTCACCAACTTGTTCCATGAAATAGGTAGATTATCTGAAGGAAATGCAGACAAGTAGTCACTAATACTCTTCAACCTTGCCTACTTCTTCCAGTCTCTATCCTCCTCTCTCCTATATCCTACCATGGACCTCTCTGCTAGCTTAGGACCCTGGATAGTAAGTACATGATCCTCTCCAATAAGCCATTAAATCATCTGAAGCATAATCCTAAAAGTTCTCCTATTCCAATCATCTTGTCTTCTATCTGTCTCATATATCTTATACAAGATCATCCGTTGAGAGTCAAAAGGGGCGCTATTAACTCAAACTTTGATTTGCTCTTATCTACCATCTCTACTACTCCCTAAGATAACATGGTGATGATCAAAAATATTTTGTACATTGAATATCACATATTCATAATGACATGGTTTCCGAGGCAATTCTAAGGGGGATTTTAACACAAATACCCTAGAGTTAGCGCCAATTAAGATGTTGCTTTCAAGGAATAAAACTGCCAGGTTCTCATTTCATATCTGGATGGAAACAGCCAATTGGAGTTAAAATTCATTGACCAATGACATATGCAGCAAGCTGAGATTTCAACCCTCAATCTCCTGACTAAGAATCAAGTGAACAAACCACTATATACCATGATGCTCTTACCTAAATCCAGATCTGGAAAGAGTACATTACTTTGTCATACAGATGCAATCAGTGTCTATTCTACCAATCTACCTGTCGTTCCCCAAGTCCCTCCCCCCCCCCCCTTGCTGACTCCTATCTTCTGACACCTCTACTACCACCCCATCAAGACAGTAAACAGAGAATAACATGCTTGCTGATAAGTTGGTAAATTATCCTAAACATGATCCGGTTAAGCTCGCGTTGAATTTTCATTAGGCTGTCCCATCCAACGGTTCCTCATCTTGAATGTCCCTGAATAAACAAATGAGGAGGTGATTTACGTGTCCCTGCACCAATCTCCAGAATGTCATCAAAACAGCACCTGATCTGCTAAGGCCCGTTCTGCTGATTCCCAACACTTAGCACTGATTTTCAATTATGCTAATGAGGATTAACGAACCAGGTATGGTTTCATTCTGAATTATTTAATATTATCAAAAAGAAATCAATAGGTAAGAGCTAGGTTAAATCAGTCACACACCAATTCCACCAGATATGCCATAAGAACAAATGTTCACATTCACAGGTACTGTACTTGTATATCTAAACCCACTGACAAGTCAGAGTGCTCCATTTGAAAATAGAAGTCAGAAATATGTGAACATAGATATTTTCTTGGAATGGTCAATGTACCATTTCTCATACAGGCTCTTCCAATGAGAACGCTTCTATAACCCAGATGGGGGCACAGATGCATTTAGTGCAATGATCCTTGGGGCCTTTACAAATCACTTTCACTGAAAGATAGACAGGGACTTTCAAAGGTGTAGAATCATTCAACTGACTGAATCTTTTCATCACCTGTTTTTATCAGAAAATGATAGATCAGAAATCCATCTTAAAATGGCATGGAATTTCATTGATTTTATTATATTTTTTTTCTTCATTTTTTTGGAGGAAATAATCGCTCAAAATAGCTATTTGAAAAAGAGAAAAATTACATATCTGCTGAAAAGATATATCATCTGCTTTTAGAGAGTGACACCTAATTTTGTCTAGAATCAATTAATCTTATGATTTAAAAAGCTCAGAACTTTTCTCTATTTTACATGTACTTAGAGGCTTCATTCAAGCCTGTAAACTATTACAAATTTTTTATTTTTTCAATACCATGTCTGCTTTTCTCCCCTTCTTTTTTCAAATAGAAGAATACGGAATGGGTGACTAAAATATTCTTCCAATCACAGAAGTATTGGAATTTAATCAAAATGATAGATTCATGATGAATAATAAATATCTTTCTGAGTGTTCAGAACATTGAATAAAATCTGTTTACCTCATGTATAATTTTTATTAGCATGTTGTTCTGACAATTTTGTCACAACATCCCAGCACAGAAATATTATTGTCATCTAAAATAAATGTCAACCAGTCACTTCTAATTCCAAGATCCAAGGTGTACAAAGACTGTGTGGTAACCGTCAACAACATAAATCTAAGTAAGAACAGTAATACTAACAGAGTATCTGTCTTCTGTCCAACCCTATAGATATAAAAAAAAAAAGATTTCTGTCTTTGACAAGACATTAATCTACATTTGCTATAGTTGAGCCGTGCAGGTGAGGTAATATAAGTGGGTACCTGGTAGGATTATTCCTTTAAATGCACTGTGCACTGATAATGGTTACAGGAGCTAAAACTAGGGTAAAAGCTCTTAGGAAATGATTAGGGATTGTTAATGTTCCATGTGGTATACCGGAATGGATTATCATAATCATCTTTATCATCATCATCATTACCATCATCATCATCATTATCATCATTATCATCATCATCATCATCATCATCATCATCATCACCATAACGCCATCATCACAATTACCATCATCATCATCATCATCATCATCATCATCCGCGCTGTCATCATCGGTATCATCATCATCAATATCATCAGCATCATCACCTTCATCAAAATTACAATCATCATCACCAAAATCATTGTCATCATTATTAATAGAGGATTTTCTAAATTTGGTTTCTTATGAAATGTACAATAAAACAAAATGTGTTTATAGATATATGGAACAAGAACTAGTGAATTAAGTTTGCTAACATACAGAGTAATATGATCTTCTATATTTAGTCCGAAGTAATCTATGACTCATAAGTTTTTTCCACAGATCCACCAAGGCAATTCATCCATTGCATCAAGACTATTGATCAATACTCATCGATACAGAGGCTCCAGTAAGGGGAAAGATGAACTGGAAAATGTATTGCACTTGCATAAGCAGACAATGCTGGCTTATTGCAGGTGTGAGCACCAAATAAGAAACATTTTTTAGCACCGTACTTCAAAAAGAAACCGATCAAAAGCTTTCCAATGCTGACAACCTGTTTATGTAAAAGCTCTTTAGATTAGATGCCATATTCATCGAGTGTGACATATTGAGGGCCCATCTGAAATTGATCACAACTGAATATCAATCACAATTCTGTACTAAAGACATACATGCCAACATTTGAAAATCAGAAATCTGTACACTATGTGCGCAAAGCGCACATCACGAGCGCGAAGTCTTTTTAGCCGGGGTCCAGGGCCCGCTTTAGGGCCCTGGAAGCTCTGGGTTTCCAGATGCTCTCTGGTGCAATCTGAGCCTATTTTAGGGACCATTTCCCCTAAAATTCAACCCAAGTTTATGGGTAATTTTTGTGTCATAGGTCTAGACTAGGTCTAGGCAAATTCATGCAAAAAAATATATTCAAGAAATTGACTTGAAAACACATCAGACAATTAGTCTGAACCGAGTCAGGAGCAAATTTGAAGAAATTATATTTTTAAATGTTGTAAAACCAAAGATATTAGAAGAAAACTGACAAAGTATCTGTACTAAAAATCGTACATTTGACAGCTGAAAATGATGCGCACGGTTGTGGTACGTGCGTTCTCGAATCCAAAATCGTATCTCACACACACACTCTCGCCATACCGCGAATGGTCCGTCGTGGGGAGCTAGCCGCCCGAGAGTTTGCCAGCGATACCAACGCACCCTCGGAGCTCCGCAGCGCACAATTTTAGCGGAACTCGAAAGGTTCGAGGTGGGAAGGTGGCGGGCTAGCTTTTTGCCATCGTTCCTTGTATTCCTGTTTGTACTTCTGAATTCGTCTTGCTGCTGTTCCGCTCACTTTGACAGATTTTCTTCCGAGACAAATCACAAATCACAAAGTATACGGTACCTCGAAACACGTACTTTGCATGGGGACCCTAGCCGCGATAGCCAATGCATGCTGCTGCGCTGATACGCGTGCAAACGTATAGAAATTATGCTTACGAGATTTGCCAGCGCAAGTATTTACGTACGGAAATGTTACGTACGGAAACATATATCAGAGTGCACGTGGCGCGCAGCAACACGCTGCCACTGTACGTACATATCAGTGCACGCTGCACGCACCTTGCGCAATGCAATCCGTTCAGCACTCGATCGGATCAATACTATGTATGGAAAGCCAAATTCCCCAAAATCGGAACGTTCCGTTTTTTAGGGCTATAAAAACTTCAAAAACGGAACAGTTCCGTTAAAATCGGAACGGTTGGCATGTCTGTAAAGAGACAGGAGTTTGAATGTTTGAGATTGATTAGAGAACTTGCGATCAATCCACATCAATCGCAACTCTTTAAAGACATGGCTTTTGCTTCACAAAGAGCCGATTCACCTAGTTAAGGATTGAGCCCCAATGGACGGCAAGACTTGGGTCTAGGGAAAAAACTGAAAGAGTGCATCAAATAAAACGGAAACTATCTATGGCTAAATGAAATAATGATTAGAATATATTTAAAATACCAAGAAATTGCCTAATAGCAGGCAGAAGGGTGGTTCACTCTGATAAATTACATAAGTTGAGTTCTGGTGGAGCTGGGAAATGAGTTGTGGGTTTACTAATTCTTGTGATTCCTGAATAGATGAACATCATAGTAGCAGATAATGCTCTTAAAAGGTTTTAATATCCCAAATATATTTCACATAAAACTAATAATGATTGATTTTTTATAATTTGGACCTGATTTTGATGCTGAATGTGCTTGATGTCCTATAAGATCCCACATTACGTGTGCAGTGCTTTCCACTGCATGCAATTTTCAGCAAGATCAGCTCAATTTGTAATTTTAATCATACTAAAACCAAATATACAATCATGTTCATGCACTACATAATCACCCTTTCCCAAGAAACTTATAAACAACTCCTTTCACAATGCAATCACAGGACTAGTACAATTTTTTTTTTTGATATTTAAGCCACTGAATACTGAATTCTCTCCTTCCCATATATTCAATACAGAATCCACCCAGTACCCATAGGCAAAGGGTTACCATCCCTCTGACCTTTGACCTGCAGATGAAATCAAAATCTTCTTACCTGTTCAACTCTTATCTCATATTCTCCATGGATTAGTTTCCCCCTGAAATATTTGGCCCTGTAGCAAAGAGAAAAGTCAATATGAAGAAGTTACATTGGAAATCAGGTTCAAGCAATGTTAGGAAATTCAATATCATTCTCAGATATCTTCCCTCCAGCCTATACCATCACAAAATAGGAAGAAAAAAGTGTAACCTGAAGATATTTGGACAGAAATATCTATATTTTGTTTGTTCAAAGTATTGAACATTTCTTAGCTTATCTTATGTGGAATGTCTGCATTGTGATATCATGGAATCTTGGCTCAAATATCTAGAAGAATTACTTATTACACTAAGAAGATTTTGTTTCTGCTTCTTGAGGTAGAACTTTATTTTGGCATCAAGTAGTTTTTCTTTCCCTTCAGAAAGTAATGTTTACCTTCTTATAGTTGGGAGCTGTATTGGCAGAATAGGAGGGGGGGGGGGTTGCTTTACCTGTAAAATACACAGTAGATTTAAAATATGTTTGTGTGCCCCTGAAACAAAATTAGATAAGGTGTCTTTATTTCAATTAAAATGGCACTTGTCTGCAATTTTTGACACATACGCTTAAAGCTTCTAGTTTTGGTGCGCTCTTTTTGAAATTTTCCAAACTAAATCACTTTCTGTTCCTGTAGATTCTCTTCTTTTTGCTGCTTCTCTCCTTTCCATTCTTGTTTACCCTTTACCCTACTTTCTGGCCTAAATCACATTACGGAGTGGGCTTTTGGGAAGGAAAACAAGCGTAGTCGATCGTGTTATACGATCCAATGCATAAAACACAACTTGTGATGGAACCCCAAATGTCTTATGTAAAGGGATTTGCGGATCATGTGACCCTAATCTGCACAAACTAGACCTAAAACATTGTTTAGATCTGATTTGGTCGGCACATTTCATTCTTTAGGTTTATTCAGTGAAATGCTTACCTACCTTAGGGAACATCATTTTCAAAATGAGAAAATGGTCCACTTTTTACTTTATTTATCACAAAACTTTGTATTTATTATTACTTCAATATCTAGTTTTAAAATAATTGTGCAGCACTGATATAAAAAGCGATGTCCCCATTAAAATAGTCAAACATCAAATAAAGCAAAGCTTGCAGCATTTTTATTTCGTTTTCAAGGATATATGGAATAGCCCTCAAGTCATATATACTTTCTTTGGCAACTATTATTCAGTACGATTATGAAATGAGTAATATGTCACAATTTTATACAAGTTTTCATTCTTGTTATATATATGTGACAGGTCACCATACATGTGGAGAAGGACTAATACAATTGTTTAACAAAACAAAAAACACCAACATATTACTCCACTCAAAAATGATTGTCATTCCCTTTTAGCTGTACAAAGCAATCAGTTTGTCATAATGAGTGCGTAAAAGATAGTTGACATGCAATGGAATTAACCAGCTCATGGCTATTTATATTACGAAAACAGACATACGATCCTTCTATCATCAATATTCTCATAATACGTTTTTAAAATAGAACATGCTGTAGGCTTTGGAAAACAAGAAATTGAGACCACCTTAAGGCTTGTTCACATTTCCAGTGGTTTACCATGAATTTTTAAAGCCTACACCTTGTACATCGCTTCACATTTTTATATTGTCTAACCTACGGATGAGTGAGTACGCATAGAACCTACAGTATGTAGCGACGCAGCTCCTTTTTCATCCTCACTTGCCATCCATTTAGTACACAGAAATCCTACAAAAACAACATTGTTTCTACGGCATATGTGAACAGAATTTTCAAAAACACTGCCCAAGGATTTAATCTTCAGCTTTTCATCACAAGAATAGCTCATGATGTGTATTTTGGGAGATGATCTTTAATACATTCAGGAGAAACTAAAGTGCTTACGGTGGTTTAGAGCAATTTGATCAATTTGATGATTCTGCAGAGTTTCTGTGTAATCTCCCTAAAGACGATTACAAAGATTTTAAGCATTGTTCTTTCTTCTTCTTTTTTTGTTGTTGGATTTTGTTCCCTGTTGCAAGCTACACTGACAAATGGAAGTCATCTAATATATAATGTGTTGTACAACAATATGTGTTCTTAATTCATGTCACTTTTACCTAAAAGTTAATGTCTTTATAAGAAATCACTTAACACTTTTACAAAACCTTAAAATGTATATCACAAAAGAAAATATTGAATGCTTTTGGAAACACCTTTTTTCAAAACACTAGTCTGCCTACACATGAACAAGCATTATCACTATGACATTCTGGGTGAAAATCTTAGGTTAGAAACATGCAACCTAGCTCAGGCATTTTTGAGTGACAATACACATAGACAGATTGCAATTAAAGTACCCAATAATACAACACTAATTAGCAAGTCTTTTCTAGAATTAAAATTACACTCTTATTCCTTGCATTTTCTCAACATATCCCTCTGTTGTTGTTGTTGTTGTTGTTGTTTTGTTTTGCTTTTCTTTTTTTTTTTGGGGGGGGGGGGTTGGGGTGGGTCAATTTGCCGAATTTATTGGAATCTAACATTTGATTTTGAGCAATGCAAGTATATAATACTTTTTTTTATCAGTCTCTGTTTTTGGAAGAGAGGATTGGAATGATATTTTGAAAGGTAACAGTCTCAGCTACTTCTAATCATACTGTTTATAAAAGACATTCTTGTTTTCTGGGGGCTGGGTGGTTTATCTGATCTTATTGCTCAATTTCTTCTTTTTTAATATACAAAGAATGAAGTGACTTCTTCCCTGCTACAACTGCACATTCTCAAGGCTGCACTGCACCTAAGATCAGGTTACTCACCAGTCTGTGTGGAGGTCATCGATAACCAACAATGTCTTCTGGTTGCCCTTCTCTTGACGTGGAGCCAAGGAGCTCAGGAACCCCATGCTGTTGTCTCTCCTTGGCATGGTGGGGCTGTTGGAGGTGCTGATGGCCGTCCGCTTCTCAACAACCTCCTCCTGGCCAATGTTCTGGAAGTAGCCGTCGGGCAGGCCGGTCATCGCGTTGGGATCAGAGAATCTTCGGCGAAGGTAATTCATCATTGTTGTCTGGCTGTTACTAGGTTTGTCTCAAAATGGGGTCTGTAAAGTGCAAGGTCAGAGTTGAAATCAATCAAGTTATGAAGAGCCTTACTTTTTGTCTTGAGCATGATTAGAAATGTTCACATCCTATCATAAAATAGCACATAAAGGATTCTTTTAACAAGTGCTCTAAAATACCTCAAGCTTTATATCTATGGCAAGCATGGAAGAAGTAAAAAAAAAAAATATACAAAGATTTATTGAAGTTTTCCTTTATGTTACATTGAAAATTAAGAGAGGTATTTATTAGAACTACACAGTCCAAAAAGAAGTGCGAAGAAAAATAAACTGCAGTCACTTGAGTAAAATGAACAGACAATCCAACTAAACTGTGCATGCTCAAAACAATACAGCACATCATGCTATTAGGTCCTCGGCATTTAACAAACTCCCTATATTCTACCTACTAATGGTAAAGCTTCTTGCACAGTTCACAGTCTCTTATCTGTACAGACAGAAGTATTTAGTAACATAGGACACTGGTGATAATCTAGCTTACAGCCAATATCAAAGCTTATCACAGGCCATGTACCAAAGCAAGCACCTTTCTTATCTCCAACAACAAATATGTTTAAACAATCAGAATTTGTTGTTCATGCATGCTATGTGTCAATCCAAAATGTAATCATAACCGGCAATATAGGAATATTCATACATATTTCTTTTCTTTAAAAGAACCCCGCTAAAATCATTAATCCAAATTTTATGATGAAAGAATATCATCACATTTATCGTGAAGCATTTTGATTCAATTCAGAAATAAAATTGTAGTCATTCAATAGAAGCCAAACACACTGATGTCACTGAGCTTATAATTCCAACACCTTCAAACAATTTCAAATTTCTATAAAAAGTCAGAGCTAAACCGTTCAATAAAATATGAACATGTAAAGGTATCAACTAAGCAATGACATGTTTAATGGACGGTGATCTGAAAAACACATATAGTACACTGTACTTCAGGGGAAGATGTGAACTTACTGGATAAATGCCTCAAGGGAGGGGTTCTATTTTTGTCCAAAATCTAGTGCTTGATCAATAAACACATATCTCATGATGCATTTCTGGCTCACTCCCACCTTTTAGAATGTGAAAAAGTGTCAATGTTCTCCAGTACCCTTTAAGCACATGCTATTATCATTCTCTACATTATTTTTCTAGTATATTTCTACATACCTCCCTTTCTCCCTCTTTTCACCATAATCTTAGGTCTCCAATAATCTCTCTTCCCTTTTTTTCATTTTTCTCGAGTTTCTACAATCAATTTTCTTATTTCTTCTTAAAGCTGTATCTATTCCTCACTTTTGATTCCACCTCTTCTTTCTATAATTTTCTGTTATATCTTTTATTTCCTCTGTCATCTACTCTCCCTCCCATCTCTCTCTCTCTCTCTCTATCTCTCTTCCTCTCTTCCTCTCTCTTTCTCCCTATCTCTCCCTCCGTACTCTCTCTCTCTCCCTTCTTCACTCTCTCTCTCTATCTCTCACACTCTCTCTCTCTCTCTCTCTCTCTCTCCCTCCCTCTCTCTCTCCTCTGCTTGACATTTAGTCATAAACATATATATCACAAGAATGTACCTTCCATTAAAATTTGTAAAATCCAACTCAAATGGAACTAGATGGAATTTTGACTGCGCGCAGTCGAAAATGATGCCTCCGCCATAGAGCAATTTAAACAAGTTTGGAGTTTAAATCTCCAGTGGTTCTTGAGATATCATGATAACAATCTCAATGTATGGAATTTCATAAGTTGACCTCTGTGACCCTTGACCTTTGACCTACGTGCTCCAAAATCTAATTAGATTGTCTTCCTATGGTGATACACACTATCATTAAGTTTGAAGTTTAAATCTCCAGTGGTTCTTGAGATATTATGATATGGTGATACATACTATCATTAAGTTTGAAGTGAAAATTCTCCAGTGGTTCTTGAGATATCGCGATAACGATCTCAATGTATGGAATTTCATAAGTTGACCTCTGTGACCCTTGACCTTTGACCTACGTGCTCCAAAATCTAATCAGATTGTCTTCCTATGGTGATACACACTATCATTAAGTTTGAAGTTTAAATCTCCAGTGGTTCTTGAGATATTATGATAACAATCTCAATGTATGGAATTTCATAAGTTGACCTCTGTGACCCTTGACCTTTGACCTACGTGCTCCAAAATCTAATCAGATTGTCTTCCTATGGTGATACACACTATCATTAAGTTTGAAGTTTAAATCTCCAGTGGTTCTTGAGATATTATGATAACAATCTCAATGTATGGAATTTCATAAGTTGACCTCTGTGACCCTTGACCTTTGACCTACGTGCTCCAAAATCTAATCAGATCGTCTTCCTATGGTGATACATACTATCCTTAAGTTTGAAGTTTTTACATCTCCAGTGGTTCTTGAGATATCATAACAATCTCAATGTATGGAATTTCATAAGTTGACCTCTGTGACCCTTGACCTTTGACCTACGTGCTCCAAAATCTAATCAGATCGTCTTCCTATGGTGATACATACTATCCTTAAGTTTGAAGTTTAAATCTTAAATGGTTCTTGAGATATCGCGCTAACAAACTCAATACAAGGAATTTCATAAGTTGACCTCTGTGAAGTGTGACCTTTGACCTACGTACTCCAAAATCTAATCAGATCGTCTTCCTATGGTGATAAATACTATTCCCGAGTCTTAAGTTTAAATCTTAAATGGTTCTTGAGATATTGTGATAACGGTCAAACGGGACGGACGTACGGACGGACGTACGGACGGACAACCCGAAAACATGATGCCTCCGGCACCACCTTCGGTGGCGGAGGCATAAAAATGCATTAAAATAGTTCAATATTTATTGTCATTAAATGCCTAAATAAACAGCATGTTTTGTGTGCCATTTATCTAGAGAAATATTCTGAGGAGCATTTAATATTCCGATCCTCTAGACGATGACTCATTACCTACAAAAGCAAAAAAGCAATGGCCAAAACTCACCTCTGTGATTTAAACTGCAAGATGTCAATCAAGAAACTTGATCCCACAATGCACTGCTCGGGATCGTTGTCGGAGGCTTCCTTACAACTGATGCCAGGGGTCTGATGTATACAATGATCAGAACCCTACGACGTAAAGAGTTCTCTTTGAATCAATCAAATAGACAACTAAATCCAAGCTCACCTACGTTTATTCCTAATCACCTTCCAGCAACGAAAACATCAATCAGAAGGTTTTCAAATGCGATTGTTGGTCACGAACAGTAAGATAACGCTTTTTCTCTTCTAACTTGATATAAGTGATAACTTATCACTGTCTGCACCTCAAAAGAAAACAGGTATTGATTGTCTTGCAGCTGTGGTGTAAAATTTGTGATATATCCAAATTATAGATCCTGGTAAATCCAAAAGATCCTTTGGGGAATGGGTAAGGCGTGGGAGAGCGACGAGACGAACGGGTTTATTTCCAATCAATCGAAGAGACACTTGAATCTTAAAGATGCTAATGGCTCAACATACGATTCGTTGTCGCGCAGACTGTTTTCATTGTAAAGCAAGACAGTGGCAATAAGCTTTGTATCCGACGTAAAATTATCTGATTGTATCACTGAGATGTTTTCATGAATTTTGCAAACGTATTAAGGTTTGGCTCTTTACGTAACTAATCCATTTAAACATTTGTAACAAAGAAGTATCGATTTCAATCATGTGATCCTATTGTTGCTGTTCAAACAGAAACAAACATGAAGTAGGCTTCCTGGAGTACATGTCCAGGTTTTCAGCTAAAATATAGAATTCTCTTTGGGACGTACTGACTGAAGTGCTTTACTGCTCAGTAAGTATTCCCATCCAAAGTACTTGGTAGACATACAATGATCTCTCTCTGTCTGTCTGTGACGTTTTGGTCCCTGGAGACAGCTTGCAGTCAGACCCTCTCAAGGTTTTCAGCTTAATTCAAAAGGAATATTTTCCTCTCCTCCTCTCATCTCAGATGTGAGTGTACTATTGACTGCGAGTGAAGCTGGAGCGATTTCACTGAGCAAGAAATCAACACTGATTCATCAGATGGTTAAATCAAATATCTGGACTCTTTGTAACATGAAACGCTCATCAATAAATCCACAAATCTGGGTGTATTCAGATCAAATTAAGACCCAACCTGCACTGTAGAGTTCTGTTTGAGAGGCGCTGGATCATTCAATATCGCTGCATTTAGGTTGTATACAGGTGTGTCATCGCCAGTTCATCGCCTAGCTATGTTATGCCATAGAATGTGTCTCCTAGATGAGCTCTAGTAGAAACATAAGTCAGACGTGTTGCCAATTTAGTGTTGTCTGGTGATTATTACCCTGGGGAAGTATCACATTGAATGTTCTCCTTCCTAAAGGTGCTGAGATACCTGTAGGCAAAAGAATAAATATGATTTGTCAGGTGCTATGAATGTTCCAATATGGAGTAACAAAAACTGATATTGAGAAGGCACAAAATATACATAATCACTACATGCAGGATGAGTTAAACTGTCATTACCTTTTACAATAATAGACATTTTATTATGAAATGCACTGGCAATGAAAGAATTTTAAATAAATTAAAATGCTGTTTTGACTGAAAGAATTTTGAACAAAGAGAGTTCAATATAAGAAACCATTAGTTGTAAACCCTCCTAATACCATTTTATGATTTTGTACAGACTATACAGTCATGTGAATCTCACAAGACAGAATCTTGATTTGGCATAAAGAGAGTGAATTCAATAAGCACACTTCTCTGAATACATATCAGAACTGGTCAGGTGATGAGGTAGATGATTCATTACTCCAGGCAGCAGCTATCATGACTTTGCCTTTTACCTTTTT